ATTGCACCTGAAAAATAAGATGGGGATTAAAATTGCAGCTTAACCCAATATTTTTTTTAAAAAAGCATCGAGTTAAAAGATTATATTTATTTTGAATTATATACTTATTAAATTTGAATGATTGAGATATAACGAGCATCACTACGGTGAATATCAAAATTAGTTCCAAAAAAGATTTAAATATGCTACTAAATTAATGGTAATCAAATCTGTTTGGTTGCGACTTGCGATTTTAATAGTCATTAAAAACTCTAAATAAAAGTTTTTAACACAATAAAAACTTGCTAAAAATTCTAATCATCAATAATCTCAAATCATCAACAAATATAAAAGCTCTATATAAATATATCTATAGTTCCATATAATAGTCTCAAATTTTTAAAAAATATAAAAAAAATATTATATAAATAGAATAAAAAATTAAAAAAAAAAAAGAGAACCGGGATGAGACCGGAACGGGATGATCCCGTCCCGTCCCAATTTGTCCCATCCCGAAAAAATTTCTGAACGGGTCCGTCCCGTACCAATAAGGCCAGTACTGGAATGGACCGATTGACCGATTGGACCAGCCTTAAACACCTGTACTCTTCGGTCAAAGCATGCTCAAGGCTAAAGAAGCATCATTTTCTGGTTCTATACTTTGTTTCAGTCCGAGGATCACTTTAAAGTAATTATAGGCTTTGTTGAACTCAGATCATCTAGGCCGTGTTTGGAAAACTATAAAAAGTACTTTTTCATAATTGAAAAAAACTCTTTCATATATTTATATCATATACCGTAAAATTATTTTTACAATCATGATTTTAGTTCTACTCAAACACCTCCTAAGACCCAAGCATGATTAGGACCACGATCACTGTTAAGTAATAGGTTTGGAAGTGAAAAACGAGTTGGAACTAGTTCAGTAGCACCATGATAATTTTAATTGCAGTGAAATCAAACTATTCACATACAGTCTTATTGGTCTAGATTTACAATTTTCAACTAGTGATTTTTGAATGAAATATTTTTTTCAAAAAAAGCATAGAGTTAAAAGATTATATTTATTTTGAATTATATACTTATTAAATTCGAATGATTGAGGTATAACGAGCATCATTACGGTGAATATCAAAATTAGTTCCAAAAAAGATTTAAATATGCTACTAAATTAACGGTAATCAAATCTGTTTGGTTGCGACTTGCGATTTTAAATGGGTCAACTTCTTTTGTATTTTATTAGTTCTTGCTATAAGCTAATTCCAAGCAATACCCTCTCCTTTCAGTCGAGGATGAAAAAGCTTATCTTTAACTTTCAAAAGAGGGTCTATCTTCTTCTTCATTCTCAACGGGAATGCATCAACAAAACTGCCCTTCCATATAGATCGTCGTACTCTAATTACCTCATCAAAATCAATCAAAAGTAATTAAATCATTAGCTTTGTCTAAAAGATTTTAAAAAAAAAATCAAATTCTATGCATTCTGAGTTTCATGAATTATATTAATAAATCATAGAAACGACAATTAAGGAGATTTTAAATATAAATAAGTTTTAAAAAAAGAAAAATTAATAAAGAGATTTGATGCTAAAATATACATTTATTCTTTTAATTTTATACAAGATGTCAATTTGATTTTTTAACTTTAAAAAATATTTTTAAATTTTTAACCTTAAAATTTTCAACCAAGAAAATGTGACATTAAAATTTTAAATGTTGATAAGACATTCTCAAATATTAACATTTTAAGTTTAATTTTCGATACAAGCATGATTGTTATGAAAAAAAAAATTTAGGCCTCGTATTTTTAAGATTGAAAAACAAAAAATATATATTTTTAAAGTGAATGGATTAGATTAAAACATATATAAAATTAAAGAAACAAATATATATTTTAACCGAGATTTAATTAAAAGATATGGTTTGCATGGTTGAAAGGACAATTTGACAATATATGCGCAAGAAAACGGCCAATTAAAGGGCATCGCTAGTGGCCTGGAAAGTCAGGCGGCGTTCGTAGAATACTGTGCATGCGGAAATGGGGAGAAGAAATAGGGGAGATAATTAATTGGCATGTACAATAATTAGTTGATTAATCAAACAAGTAAGGTATGATGAAAGATTAAATTAAATGTCCACTCATTAAAGACTGAGTTTTAAATGATTGAAGAGTTCGGTGGCTAAGTTATAATAAAAGATGATTTAATTACCTTATTTTTCTTGAGACTTGTAGTAAAAGGCATTTTTGCCCATTACTATTTTGAAATACTCCCTTAGATGCTATTTATAAATTTAAATTTAGAGGGGTAAAGTTGATTTTAGAAGCTTTAATTTGAGTTTATCTTAATATTTAATATATTTTTTTAATTTTACACTTAATTATTTATTCTCTCTCATTACTATACTCTTTTTCATTATATTTTGACGATACATTTTCTTTAGTTTATTTTCTCATTTATCATAAGGGCATCTTTGAAAACTAAAATACTCCTCTGGTCCTATTTATAGAACAGAGAGAGAAAACATTTTTTTAGTTTTATTTATAGGGCACTGAGAAAATTTTTTTGTACGAATGTACAATTTTACCCTTCATTTATTATTGTATTGACTTTATTCGCATGAGGTATAATGCATATTAAATAGGAATAGAATTGAAAAGTTATTAAATTTTAAATGAGAGTTAATGAAGTTTAAAATTTTTCTTAGTCTGTGTGAAATATGTTAGAAGTGTCTTATAAATAGGACCAGAAGAGTATAATTTAAACCTATTTATTTCTTTTAACTGGTTGTTTGTATTTCGCGAATTACCTATTTGAAACTTATAATAAGGGCAGGAGGGAGTAGTGTTTAAAACGATCAAAATTAAGCAAATCAGATATCTATTCGTCCCTATTCATAAGGAAAGACAGGAATTATCAACGTTAATCTTATCCCGCGTGCTGATGAACAACGCTACCAACGGCCAGTCAAAAGTCTAATCTTCCATTCCAAGCATATAAAAGTATCTTTTGCCTTCAATCGGCTTCCTTTATCATACTAATCCGTTCTCTAATTATTACCACTCCGTCCAGTTCTTTTTCAACTCCCACTTATTCGCAAAAACTCAGATTTTAGGAGAATGATTTGGTTTGAAATATATGTGTTATTACTTACAAATAATTAATACTTAAGTTAAATGCAACTCTTAGTATTTTTCTCTTTCCTTCCGAATCTCATTTAATACGGGGTAAAGTTGGAAAATATTTTAATGTGAATCAGATTTAACTGAACTACCCTTTTTTATTCTAATAAATTGGTTAAGGTGACTCATATTAAGTACTATAGAGAGTAAATAATTTTTTATTCTAAATGTAAGTCATTTGTAGCGTACTATTCTGTTCTTATTTGTAAGTCACTTGTAGGATAAAAGTTTCATACCTAAATGTAAGTCACTTTTAGGATCTTTTCTAATTTTACCCTTATTAAATACTTCTCAGTTCCATTTATAAGGTAGAGAGAATTTTTTTATCTTATTTATAAACCACTTCATTAAATTTTTAGTACTAATAAATTATTGTTTTGGTACAATATGAATGAATTATTTTGGCTTTTATTTATAATAATGTACATATTTTTTTTATATGCGTATATAAAATTCTCAACTACAAATAATGAGCAGTGATTTATAAAACTTAAATTTCTCATTTGTGATCGAGACTTTTTTAATTAAAAAAATATTAGCCAACATGGTGTGGCCTATATATTCGAACTTCCGATAGGAAAAGCACTTAGATTTAATATTTGTTAAATATTTTATGAAGAAATCATGTTATATATGATGCTTGCCAAAATTTTTTTTTAAAAAAAAAGAATGCGTTCAATTTTTGTAGGGTAAAGGTATACGCGACTTGATTTTATTTTTCAATGTACTCAGTAGGTTAGCCTTATTTTTTCTTCTGCATCTATCACTCCAATGTTATTTTTAACAACATTTAGGACCCTGATTTTTATGCTACTAAATACATTATAAATTATAAATAAGATCAAAATGATGAACATACTGAAAAAATTAGATTAGAATGTTGAATACTAAATGTAAAATAATTAAGAGCATATTTATCTTTTTTTAATATACTTATTTTTTAAAGAGAAAATCTCAAAAAATAGCTGTTGAATTTTAAAATTTTAAATCAAGAATTGCTAGAGAAATGTATTATTGTTTGCTTTTCGAGTGTAGTTATTTTTTCTACGAGTATAATAATTAATACTAATTTAAAATTTTAAAATTCAACGACTATATTTCTTAAGATTTTTTTTAAACGCAAATGCTGAGTGAGCGAGAATTTCGGGGGCAAGGTGGACTGTGGATCACATGTGCCCCTTAGATAGGACAAAATACGTTATTATTCATTTGCTGTCACAAAACTATTTTGTTTCCATGTATTAATATATGTGACCAAAAATTCATGTGCGGGGCCCAACTTTACTGTGCTAGACCCATTCATCTCAAATCTGGTTTGTTGTCCGTACATAAAATAAATAAGAAAACTAATTACTAAAAAATTTCAATAACAACTTGAGCAGCATGTAATGATAAGTTTCAGAATAAAAAATAATAATTTTTATAATTTATTTCTTAATTATTTTTTTAAGATCTCATTATAATTCTCCTTTATATTATCTGATAAAAATACGTTTTTATTCTTTAACTTTACATAAAATCTTATTTTATTCCTTTAATTTTATAGGCTGGTGTCTTTTGAAACCCACAACCTCTTACTCATGGGAGACTGTCTCTTGGCATATTTTCCATCTTCTAATCTTACTACTTTCACCTAGTTTCGCTAAAAAAAAAAATCCGATATTAAAATTTTCAGTTTTGACAAAAAAATTTCAAATATTAATATATTAAATTTAATTTTTGAAATAGTAATAATTAGCAAAAAATTATTTGAGATTAAAAAGTACTTTATAAAATTAATTAAGATATCTCAGAGAGCTTGTATAAATGCGGCTTAATAATGATGAAACATGTTGCAGCATGCCACCAAAAGAGATCTTCTAAATATTGTTATTAGATTTCAAAAGCCTCTCTTCACAGAGATAGACAGACCTCCATGCATCATGATTAAACAGAAAACGAAGATTAAAGGGAAAAAAAAGATGGAAATTAAAGCTTAATTGTGTAACGATCCCATAATGTTTCAGACAACAAACATATCCCTAACTCGGTTTCTATGGAATGTAAGCATTAGGAGACAACCTAGGAGAAACCAAAGCAGCGAGAGGCACTTTCTTCTGCAAGGCAAGCCCAAAACTTTCCTCCATGTTCAACTCAGAAATCCCATGCGGGAGCTTCCAGTCAAAGGAATGAATCAAAGTTCCCAGAATGTAGTGGACAAGGACGATGCCCATCCTGGTTCCGGCACAGATCCTCCGCCCGGCTCCGAACGGGATCAGCTCGAAGTCGTTGCCACGTGGATCGATCTTGGCGTTCCGACCACTCATGAACCTGTCTGGGTTGAACTCCAATGGCTTCTCCCACACATCAGGGTCCCTCCCGATCCCCCAGATGTTCACACTCAGTCTTGTCCCCTTGGGTATGTAGTAACCGTTCACCTCGCAGGCTTCGCTCGAAACTCGCGGCAGATTCAGCGGCGTCGATGGATGTTTCCGGTACGTCTCCTTGCAGATCGCCTGTGCATCAGGAATCACAGTTCATCATCTAATGTCGCAGTATTTAACAAAACCCTGGCTAGATAATGATCAGATATGTACCTGGAAGTAAGGGAGGTTGGCTATGTCGGATTCTTGGAGACGTCGTTGACGGCCGATGGCTCGGTCCATCTCTTCGTGAGCTCGCTTCATGATTGAGGGGTTCTGCAACATTTCTGCTAGGGCCCACTCTATGATACTTGATGACGTGTCAGTTCCGGCTGTGAAGAGGTTCTAGAGGGGGGAACCGTACAGTGAGAAAACGCACGTGAATAAATTATATACGGAAAAGCCTTTAAATGCATTTATTTAGACTCATCATGATATATAGCCCCCACTTCAAAACAACATATATGGCCGCCGGTGCCGTGATTTACTATTCGCGTGCATATTCCAAAATTTAAGCAATGTCCCCTCTTCAGTCCGAGGATGCTCGGGCTAAAGTAATTATAGGCTTTGTCGAACTTTGGATCCTCTAGGCCAGTCTCTAGCATTAAGACCCAAGCCATGATGAGGACCACAGATCACCATTAAGTAATAGGTTTTGAAGTGAAAAACGAGTTGGAACCAGTTTCAGCAGCACCATGATTACTTCTTATTGCAGTGAAACCAAAACTACTCACATGTACTCTTAATGATCTAGATTTACAATTTTTAACTAGTGATTTTAAATAAAAAATTATTTTTTTAAAAAAATGAAGTTAAATATATTTTTTTGAATTATATACTTATTAAAGGAAAAATATTTTTAAAAAATAAAAATATTAAATATTAAATTTCGGTGGTCCAGATTAAATTTGAATGAGCATCGAAATTGGTTCCAAAAAAGATTTAAATATGCTACTAAATTAACGGTAATCAAATCATAGTTGACCGTATTAAAGAGAGAAATCATCAAGTGGGAAATACACATACACACACGTACCAGAAGAAGTGCCTTGATGTTGGTCAAGGTAAGTGTCTCTCCCTCAGGGTTGTCCTTGCTGTGTTTGGTAACAATGTCCAGGAAATCAGGCTTGCCCTTTCGTTTATGAGCAGTAGCCTCGTGTTCTTGGATCATCTTCGTCAACAAAACATCGAACTTGTGATGCAGATTCTTCATCCCGCTTTCTATTCCCTGCAAATCCAGCCGCCTCAAGAACGGAATGAAATCGCCGATGTTGAATAATCCGGCGCTCGTCATCAGCTCCACCACCATGTCCTTGAACTCATTACTCTCCGATCCCTTCGTCTCGAACACCCTCTTCCCCAAAATCACTTGCCCTACCATGTTGGCCATGGCGTAGGTCAGCATCTCCGGCACCACCACGGCTTGCCCTTGCTTGCTCGCGTCGTACATGGCTGCCAGCATGTGGCCGAGCTCCACCGTTCGGAAATAAGCCCAGTCGTCGAGGGCTTTCCCTCCGAGCATGTGCAGGTTGCTTATTTTCCTCTCAAGTTTCCACCTTGAGCCGTAGTCGGCGAACACCATGTCGGCGTTGTAACCTAGGATGATGGAGCCGGCGTTCGGCGGCCGGTTAGAGAAGTTAACGTCGAGGGTTTTGAGGAACGCCCGAGCGGCGTCCGGCGTGGAGGCGACGACCATGCCGGTGGTGCCCATTTTGAGGTACATAACGGGACCGTATTTCCTGGCTAGCTTGAAGAGGGTGACGTGAGGCATGGAGCCTAGAATAGGGAGGGCTCCGACGAGAGGCCATCCGGTGGGGCCGGGAGGGAGCTTCCGGTGAGGGGTTTTGAAGATGGAGCGGAAGAAGAAACGAGTGGTGAAGAAGATGATGGTGGCGACTGCGAGGTCTTGAAGGAGAATGAGGCTTGGGGAAGCCATTTTAATGAGATCCTTCAATTGAGTGTGATGTAATAACGAAGGTGGAAGCGTGTATTTATATAGACAGAACCACAGAGCAAGGGATCTTAATGGTTTGGTGAAGAAGCGGTCGGAGAAAGAAGCAGATAGCCAGTGAACGACGGCAACAAACGACTCTTGATTTTTTATTTTAAAAAATTTGGATATATTTTCTTTCACATTTCCCATTTTGAGTTTAAAACATAAATCAAAATTTAGGCGAATTGGATTTTTAATTTTGTTCGGAAATATCTTTAGATTCATAGAGTGTTTATAGAGATAAATATATCCCATATTGGCAACTAGATTTAAAACCCACAACTAGATTATGAGGTTTATTAAATTTTTACCAGCTGAACTAATATTTGTTGATGGCAGCTGCACTACATAATCATCTTATAGAGATCATAAAAAATTAAATTAATAGAGTAAGGTATTTGTAAAAACAAATGTGTTGATTTTTCTCAGATACCCTTTTCATTATTTTCAATAATAGAGATATATATTAATATTTGTAATTAATAGAGATAATGTAAGGAAAAATTACAAATTTAGAAGTCAAATTTGATAGGAATCTTACATTCTTACATGAATAAAACAACCCTCTCAATAAACTCTCATATTTAGTAACTGTCAAAAATATATTATATATATTATACATACAATACAATAAATAATAAAAATTCAATACCAAGTTATACTTGAAAATGAATTAATAACCAAACATATAAGCAAAATACATTATTAACAAGAATGTTAATTTTGTAGACAAAAATCGTACTTTAATGGTTGATGGCACGTGGCAAGCTAACATTACAAAATTAAATGAATGAAACGTGCAGAGAGCTAAAGTTGGAAATAAATTTAAGAGCTAAAGTTCTTAAATTTGCTCAGAGCCTTAGAAACGGAACAGGGGGGGACGAAGTCACGTTTTCGTTTGGTGCAACAAAGGCAAAAGGAAGACCGTTGTTTGACTTGCGGTTGCCAGGTGTGGTTCTCAACTAACATGTCCACGCATGCACCAACCTGCGAATGACCGCTCACACGTTATTATAGGTATATACACACATACCTACTTTACTTTTATGATATTATTTATAAGTCATTTTTAGCATGTTTCATACAGATCAAGAAAAATCTTAAATTTTATTAAATCTCATTAAAAGCTTCAGATTCATTCAAAGGTCGTGTTCTTTGGGGGTGTTTATTCAGGTTAGTTCTCAACTCATATGTTTTTTTAACAGATCACTTTATCTATAAACTCATATGCTTTTTAACAGACATCTTCTGCCTGGCTCTGCAACATTAATCACACAACTTTGAAAGGAGTATATTTTTTCATATTCGATCATGGTTTGCTTGTGTAAATTTCATTGTGGCTACTTGAAGGCAAATCTTTCTTGATTGGTTTATATTGCCGTCTACAAAATATTGATATTAGTATCCTACATAATTTATGAGCATACTGATCAATTTTTCACCTTCAAGACTAGACTTGCATATCATTTTTTTTTGGTAAAAACATTTTTAGATGGATTCAGCACCGGTCATCCCACCAAGGCTAAGGCACGGCCCCAGGACTCAGAGAGCACTTACAAGAGACTTACGAGATCGCCTACCAACAGAACCCTCACGACAGCATAGGGAGTCGAACTTGCGTCCTTGTGGAATACAAGTCCGCTCCACTGACCATCTGTGCCAACGTCTGTTGCTCAAACTTATATCAGTGGGTCATAAATATAGCTATGGAGCCCATTAAGAATTCAAATGCTGCACATGACTATTACCTCCCTCTAATTCTCTAATCGTGATTCTCTCCTCCTCTTCTTATTCTATTAGATGCTCCCCACCCGTACATAAAACAGATTATTCCATTTAATATTAATTTGAATAAAGTGCAAAAGAGAAAATGCTTCCCTGCTATTAACTTGCAAGTCTGGTGAGATTTTACTAAATATAGTTCATTAGTTTACCATCTAAAAATTTTAATGTATATTACTTATGAAGTAGCTTAAAAATTGCCCACGCTAAGATTTCTCCATAAGTATAAATGCAAACATCTTCATATAAATATTACTACCTCTTGTCCTAATTATAAAAGTTAATTGACTGATTTGAGAAGATTAAAGAAATAAGTTAAATTAGTTATTTGTAATAAATAGGAGTTGTCCTTCTTAAAATATCCTTGCTAATCAAGTGTATTGGTTAGAACTACTATTATTAGAAGGATTATTTTTTTAAAAAAATATATAAATATACAAGACAAAGTGGATTGAGGTCTTATATTTAAAACCAAAATAAAGGTCAAACAAGATCTTATATTAAATACCAGAAGTAGTACTTATTAGCTACAAGTACCCCAAGTATAAGATAAATAAGAATCTAAAATGACAAAACATAATAGTACACATTTACAAAAGACTTGGAATACATCGATTTTCATAATACTACGTACAATAAGCTTTTTTCCAGTGGCGACACCTGCTAGCTTTATATAATGCCATTAATGACAAAATAAGACACACTAAAGAGTCACACCAACGCACAAGACTTAAATACTACAATATTGCCACAGTGGCTTCACTAGTTGGAACTTAAGCATCACATACGGATATCATACTAAAGGAAACATGCATTGGACATCCTTGAAGGGAGCTCAAATCAGAGGAATAGAGCTGTCTTATCGGATATCTTCCTGCTTCACAACCTTGGCTGGCTGCACAACCCCTTTCACAGGGGATTCATTCACTAAAAAGCAAAAAGCTGGCTCTCTCCAGTCCCTTGTGTCAGTGATGGAGACTGACTTGTTTTATCAGAAGAAGCTAATGATAGGGTAGAGGTTGAGACATGTATGAACTTCTTTACTGTATGTAGTTGACCTTCTGAAAATTGAAAGAAAGAACAAAATAATCCATTAACTGAAATACGCATCGATTCTCATGAGAGTACAATCTATAGTGTAAATTTCCATTCCGCTACAATCCTAACAACTCTGATTTCAATAACCTTGTGGGCTTATTGCAGACTGTTTTCCACACCAACACACGCAAAGTGTTACTTAGAATCAGTATTTCAATGAAATCAAGTAAAGAGCTTCAGATACACTTCGAATCACTGACAAAATATTGCCAATCTAACAAAAGACAAATCATCGTATTAAAATTTACTCATACTTATTGTCAACTGTTATATTTATTTATTTAAAAAATAGATATAACAAAGTGAACTTTCAATCTGAATCTTACCCTGCAACTCAAACAAACATGTTCAGTGATATAGTTTATCTTTCAAAACTTGAACACATGTAATTGAAATGCTTTTGGTCATGTAGCCAAAATAATGTTTCATAATTACTTTAACATGTTTTTATGCAAGGAAGCTAAGCATAAATCTAACCATCTCTTTACCAACTCACATTTCATTAATAAGCGTCCAGTTCATTGTATCAAATTTATGAGAGTTTTTTCAACCTACCCAAACACCTACTAGATCATGTGAATATGTTATTGTATATCAACAAATTTTCCCATGCCATCTAAACACCCACACACAAAAGATTAACAAAGGAATAAAATAAAAACTGTCATATTAAGATTTACTAGCAGCTTACCGTCACATATATCACCAGCTTTGCAACAGAAAAAACTGACCCCTCAACAACTTTACATACACACGTGTTTTTGTTAACAATAGGATAACCTGCGACAACAAACATGCACTGTGAGATTTTTCCTCCACCTAAAAGATCACAATCAATACTAAAATCCACCAAGTCCAAAAGTCCGTCAACTCTCTTTAATTTATGTAAACTTCCAGCATGACTATTTTGCTTAAATTTTATAAAAACACGTCACTTATATATCCCAATAAAGCTAAAAATTCTGTAATATCAAATAATTCAAATGAAAATTATGTAACATTTGAACACCAGGCCATGACAATGTACAATTTCATTGTCTTAAACAAATAGATGTAATAAACCCATTAGAAAAAACCCACGCCTCAAAGTCCACGACATATATGATAAAGCTGCTTCAAATCATAGTATTTTAGTTGATTTTAAATGACTATAAATAATTTAAAGTACTAATATATTGTAAAATTTAAAAAAGAAAACATTACTGCGGAAAAATCAACCCACGGTCTCCCTCTTATGCTAAAGCTTCACATATCTTAATACAATGATTTTCGGTCTAATCAACTCATGATTTCCTATCAACACAAGTAAAGCCACCTTCAGACAAAAAAGCTGCTTTACAGCCAACCTCAGTTGAACATAAGTATCAGATCACACAAAGTTGCTACTGCATAAAATAAAATCAACCTTGAACCTTACCCTGCAACTCAGACAAACAGACACAAGTTTCAGGACCACAGCATGGAAAAATTCAAACACCACACCTTCAGCACTCACGCTTAACAATGATGAGAAAAGACAACATGTGAACCAAACATACTCTTCCGATCCTTATATACCTATTTAACTACTTTGATTAAATTAAAGAAGTCAGATAAGTTAGTTAATTATAAGAAATATGATATACTTTTATTAAAACACTATAATCATCTTCTTTAATATCCTCTCTCTCTTTTTCTCTTTTTTACTTGATTATGGTTGATAGAGTAACCATAAGGGTAATTTAGAAAAAAATTGATAAATATGAGAAATAAGTCTTATATTTAAGATCAAAATCAACTCAATAATTAGGTCCTAATTAAGAACCAGAGGAGTATATAATAATACAAGTAAATGTGTTGGTAACAAAGTGAAAAGTGTATCCTGGGAAACTAACTGATAAAAAAAATCTAGTTCAATGATATGGTTTATCTTACAAAAAGTTGAGTACATTTACTTTGAATGCTTTTATTCATGTAACCAAAATAATGTTTTATAATTACCTTAACATCACTACAAAAAAACAGACTTTAGGCGACGACTTTCGGTGGCGACAAAAAAAGTCGCCGCTGAAAGTCCACTTTCG